ATAGGATATATATGTGTATGCACACACACACCTCTCTGAGCCAGAGCAAAACAATAGTAAAAATTATGACTTGGCTGCAGTATTTGTGACAAAGATCAAAATACTCCAGTAATGACTGGCCCCAGCGTCACTGGTTTAGATGGTTCTCAGAAAGGGTTGAGTTCCTAACAGGAAAATGAGATTCAGGAAAGCCGACCTGATGAGGGAGTTTTTATGTGATTACAGAACACAATCAGTGTTCAAGGTCATCAGCCTCGGGCAAATTAAATAACCACTGAAATCTGAATTATGGTGTCAACACATTTTTTAAAAGCACAGCTATTTACAGAGGTGAATCCAGATTGCCTCGGTACTTCACAGTGACTAACAAAATTTTGCCAAAAGTTTGCTTATTCCATTGCAATAGTTAACTTTCAAAGTGCACCTCTAATACTATACCTCAGAAATACATTTGTCTATATTTCATTACCATGATACTTTTATTTTTAGTGATGATGTCACAATGGACAAACGAACCACTCAAATAATTTACCTATAAAACATAGTTGATCAGCAAATTTAATAACCATGTAAGAACTACAAGATCTAGAGAGATCATGTAAATAGCACATTCACTATCTTAAAATCAGAAAAATCCTAGATTATTTTGTAGTAGTTTTAGAAGTAAAATATCCTCACATTTTTGATTCTAATATAATTCTTATAATATAATATAGTTATTTAATATAATATAATTCTCATATAAATGATTCTATTTCCCTTTAAAATAGTACATTGGATTTTTTCCCTTCTTCTAAGCCTACTTCATAAAACACTTTCTTATGAAAAGCTGTCTGTTTTTTTCCTTTACAAATTAAGTATAAAATATTTCAGATATTCAAAAGATATAAAAATCAATGTAACATCTTGTATCCACCTCTCAGCTTAAGAAATAAAACATTAAAGAATCCTTTTAAAACCTCTGTATAGTTCTCTCAGTTGCAATTGCTGTTGTCAATTTGGTTGAAACCAAACCATTTTGAGTCATTCATTCTTCTTTGCCACTAAATATTTTGGTATTACTGTGTTTATATATAGTACTGATATATATCAGAAATATATATATATATATATTTTTTTTTTTTTAAAAGAAAAACATCATTAACTTTTTGTTCTTACAAAAGTATTGTTTCAATAATGATATTGAACTTGG